ATATTCCTTTGGTCTTTTTAGCTGCTAGCAGAAAAGGAGTAGGGGAAAACAGTGCATTCCTCAAGTGCCTAGATAATCGCCCTGGCAGCCCAAAGTTGTCGGCACGCAAGAATATTACTGGCAAGCATGATTGATAACTCTTGGCTATGGATGTGTCCCATTGGAGAATATACATCCAGGGAAGACCAGGGTCCAGGGGGAAGTGAATGTTGTATTTTAGTATTGGCTGCATCCAGCTAACGCCAACATGGCCACTTCTAGTAAATCAATGTTCTTTTCTCCGAGAGATGCGGCTAGAGACTTATGATTTGAATGGGGGTGGATTTGTTGGAGCCCTGACAAGAACTTTGGGTGAAGTTACTGGGATCTAGGAATCCTGAATTCAAGTGAAAGTTTGCCCTCTTCTGCCCTCTGTGATTATTCAAAGATGGCAATGGTGAACTTGCAGTATGCATATCAGAGGTGACATGCCATGTCATTTTTGGTGACATGCTAGCACCTCCAGTCCTTTTGGACACAAGGGACAAGTGGCACGAGAGTGCCCTGCTCTTACGTGGCATCTGGAATCTCCCAAAATTTGCTTGGGAATAGGGCAATGCTCTTCCCAAAGTTTCTAGGCTTTCTGCAACCTGCAGCTTCCTTTAAAGGCATTTCAAAAAACATTTACAATTCTCTAAATATGTATTTACTTATTAAATAATAAATGGAATGCTTTAATGTATTACTCTTTGCTATGAATTGTTTCTCTTTTGCCTGAGATGGGCAGTAACATGCTTGCAGAGGTAGGCATTATCTGTGTTCTGACCCAACTCCTCAAACCCGACAAACCCTCTGAAGTTGAAGCAATTATTCCTTTATTAGGAGCGCCAGCAGCCCTGGCAAAAAGTTTATCTTTCACCTCAGACTAACAAGTCTGACCAGCAGGGAGACGAATAGTTGTCTGCCACAGCTATTCGTCTTCGCCCCCTGCCTGTTATCCCCAGAGTTAGGGTGGGGCTTTGCTAGAAGCGGTGGCTCTTCCGTCCCAAGGACCGGCCCATAGATTTCCACTGCTCTCTTCTCCTCTGCCTTCTGTGCATCCCACATCAGGCACTGGACTCAGCTGTTCCTCCTCTTCCTCATCAGCAACCTCCAGACCTGGGGGCTGTTGACTCTCCATCTGAGGGCTGACGGACAGCCCTTCCCCGTCCACAACAATCTGAATTTTTGACATGTGAACCCAGCATCATTGGCCTAAGACATTTTGGGGTTTGAGACAAGGTAAAGGTCTCCCTCTAGAGGGTGTTGCTCATCTCCTCTTTTTTTGCATGACAGAGCCAATGTTGTCCGAAGTCCCTTTCCGTGGTCATGTGGCCAGCATGGCTATATACCAAAAGTGCACGGAACACTGTTACCTTCCCACCAAAGTGATACCTATTTATCTACTTGCATTTGGATGCTTTTAAGCTGCTTAGGTGGGCAGGAGTTGAGGCAGGAACGGGAGCTCACACCATCAGGTGGGTCTCGAACCTGGACTGTCATCTTTCCATCTGACAAGCTCAGCATCTTTAACTGCTGAGCCATTGCACCCCCTTCTTGAGACACGGATAGAACCCCAATCCCATTTGTTGCATGGATCTTAACAGACCGCCTGCTAAAATATCCATCTAGGGCTGTTCTTTCATTCTACTATGCTCAGCAATTCCTGTGCTTCGGGTTTTTTTTCACCCTTAAGTGCAGGCAATCATAGACATCCTTTCTTTCTCCACACCAATCTCTTACTTTCCTCCTCCTACACCAGATGCCTCTGGTTAGACCCAGAATCTCGTAATGGTCACATCAAATGGGATTTGCAATTTTCTTTTCAATTGGGAAGCTTCAGAATTCTCCCTTCAGGGTTGCAGTTTTCCACTTCATTTGCAAGTTTTAAGCTCTGTCAATTGCCTCTTCTATACGCACAGCTGAAGAAAATGCATTTTTGCCCCATTTTAGTGAGCTTCCATCTAGCCAGGCTTCACAGAAAAAGAGCAAATGATGCAGCAGGAAAGGGTTTTAATATTAAGGAGACACTCCAGCATCTCTTTGTCGACCCCTTGGACAGATCACACCCTCTTAGCAAAGCCAGAAATTCTGAAACTCAACTGGCCCTTTTGGAGAAAAATAATTTCAGCAGTGGCAAGAGTTGAAGAGTTAATGTGCAATTTCCCCCCTGGTCTATTTGCTTCCCTCCCCCATTCCTGAGCAGTTAATTGTGCTCCATTTTGGAGGATTTCCTACAATGCAAAATGTTAACATTTTTTAAATGTTACCATTTTCTAATTTTGTTGGGAACCCCCATGAAAAGAGATAGAAATGGCCTCTTTTTGTCTCGTCTGATCTTCATGATTATTTTCCTTCCTCCCCAGAGGCTGCCTTTTTGTATTGGGGAGGGGAAAAAATGAACAGATGAAAGGTGCTCATTTTGAATGACATGACATGTGGTGCCAATGACTCATGGAGGAAAATGTCTCCTGTTGTTAGACATCCTTCCATCCGTTGGTTTCAAATGACTTGCAGATGCCAGGGAGACTAGTGCGGCAATACAAAACAAACCAACTTGCACATGAATTGTATAACGAAACATAGAGCTCTTCCATTCTCTGTGCATTGTGATGTTTGAAGGGGGAACAGGGGTGAATGTGTGCAGCCATGAAACTTTGAATCCAGACACTGGTTTGGTTAAAGGTGCTCAGCTTGTGTTGGAATTCATTATTAGAATGTATTTCTATGCAACAACTACAATAGTATTCAGCCAGTAGATGGCAGTGTTTACAAGTTTGGATCTATGGCATATACTCTATGCTCTTTTGTTCTAAGAAGAGTTTCCTGTTTCCTGTTACAGTTAATGTAGTTGATCAGTAAAGCACATGGTGACTGTACTGTTTATTTGCTCTGTGGTGCTATATATAAACACAATTTCTAATAGCTTGTCAGCTGGAAAGCTGACAATCTGGATTCGAGACCCACTTGATGGCTTGAGGTCTCATTGCTGCCACATCTCCTGCCCACCTAGCAGTTCGAAAGCATGCAAATGTGAGCAGATAAATAGGTACCATTTCAGTAGCAAGATAAGAGCATTTCATGCTCTTTGGCATGCAGTCATGACCACAGAATGTCTTTGGACAACACTGGCTCCCTTGGCTAAGAAAGTGAGATGAGCATCACCCCCTAGAATCAGACAGGGAAACCTTCACCTTCTCAGTTGTCAGGACACAATGGAGGATGGAAGCCAAAATGGCTAAAAAACCCTCATAAAATTGGTAAGATAAGAATGAACGAGCTTGATCTGAGCATGTTTTAATAATCTGCAAATCTGAAGACAGGCACTGATGTGTATTTTGGATATTCTTGGAAGAATTCACCATGATGTGGACTTAAATCACAAGCATACATATGTGCCCACAATCCCAAAACCCTCTTCTTAAATTTTACAGAAAAGCTTTTTGTGTAACTCACATCTTCTCTTTTCCACCCAGCTGATGCTTGGCTTTTGATGAGTAGACCAATGAGAAATAATCACCATGGGGAAACTGCATATGAGGCAGGAATGTATGGTGTGTGTTGGTAACGGAGCACCATTTTTCAAAATGAAAAGTATTCTCGGGAGACAGCAGAGAGAGCAGGCAAGCTACAGAAAAGGAGGTGACGTGTGTCCCTTTTTCTCAAGGGCTGTTTTAATTCTCAAAATCTGTCCCACCACCCCACAAATATATCTTGAGCCTCACTTGGAATAGTGGTATCATTTTGTCTGGGAAAACACACGGCAGATGAAAACATGATGCCTCTCCCCTGAGCCAGATGGCAAGTGTCTATTCTAGAGGTTGCTGGAATCTGTGGCTCTCCAGATGTTGCTGAACTGCATCTCTCATCATCCAGCTGTGAGGGACAATGAGAGATGTAAGCCCACAATGTTGGGAAGATGCCCACCAATTCCATCCCAGCCATGATAAGCTCTTCTGGTCTGCAGCATTTTTTTTAAAAAATCCCACCTTTATTTTTGTTTATAAGTAACTCAAGGCAGCAAACATAAGGTAGTAACTATGTTAAATTTTTATAGGAACGTGGGGGCTCAGTGGCTAAGATGCTGAGCTTGTCAATTAGAAAGGCCAGTGGTTTGAATCCCTAGCACCGCCTAATGGACTGAGCTCCCATTACTTGTCCCAGCTTCTGCCAACCTAGCAGTTTGAAAGCACGTACAAAATGCAAGTAGAAAAATAGGGACCACTTTGGTGGGAAGGTAACAACATTCTGTGCACCTTCAGCATTTTTGTCTTGCTGTCCACATGACCACAGAGACATCTTCGGACAGTGCTGGCTCTTTGGCTTTGTAAAGGAGATGAGCACTGCCCCCTAGAGCTGGAAATGACTAGCATGTATATGTGAGGGGAATTGTTACCTTTTGTGTTAAATTTAAATTTAGACAAACAGTGACTGCCTGCGAAGGTTCCTGGATTGGGGCTGAAAGGTGAAAGTGGAAGCGGTATGCTCCATCCCATATTTGGGAAGACCAGGTTGCCCTGATGGACCAGTCTCACCATAAAAACACATAAGGCAGTAATATTCCTTCTTCCTCCTCTTTCCCATTCCAGTGAAGTGGGTTGGGCTGAGAGAGAGAGAGAGAGAGAGAGAGAGACTGACTCAAAGTTGCCCAGATGATTTTCATTCCTAAGGTGGGTGGCCAATCTCTTCTTAACAACTTCCAGTGTTAGAGCACCCATATCTTCTGAAGGCAGGTCTTTCCAATCAGTCTCCTGGTGATTGGCCCAAAGTCAGAGAATTGGCTTTCATGCCTAAGACAGGACTAGAACTCTCTGTCTCCTGGTGAATGGCCCAAAGTCAAGAGAGTTGGCGTTCGTGCCTAAGACGGGACTAGAACTCACGGGTCTCCTGATTTGTAGCCTACTCTTATAGCATAGACAGGACTTAGTCCTCACTCTGCTCCATTCTTACCTGTTCTTCCTTCCCTTCTCTCTCCTGTTTAGGTAAACACAGCCATGCATGAGGCCAAATTGATGGAGGAATGTGATAAGTTAGTGGACATCATCCGTCAGCGCAAGCAAGTTATTGCTGTCAAGATCAAAGAGACGAAGGTAGGACAGTGATGCTGTTAGGTGGGTTGGAGTGGTTAACAGAAGCTGCTGGTTGAGTGGGAAGCCCACTTCATTGCTATTTTTGAGTGTTCTCTTCAGGCCAGTTGTTGTTATGAAAGAACCTCAGGGCCCTATGCGCCTGGCCAGTAGGGTTGCAGGAGGCCATTGCAGCCCAAAATGGAACTTGGGAGTTTTCACTGGCAGAGCGCTCAGGCCACCACAGACACCCCCTGACATGCATGACATTGAGGTGGCCATGTCCATCCTGACCATACCCCCTGTCCCCTCCCCGAGGTCAAATACAACCCTGAGGCGGCCCTCAATGAACTCAATTTTGACACCCTTGTTTTAATCCAACCCATGTTCAAGCAGTAAACCCTATATATCATTTCAGACAAGTGGCTGTCCAGACTCTTCTTAAAAGTCTCCACTGATGGAGCACCCATACCCATTCTCGAGGCAAGTCATTCCACTGATGAACTGTTCTAACTGGCAGGAAATGTCAACCTTCGTTCTAGGTTGCTTCTCTCCTTGATTAGTTTCCATCCATTGCTTTCTCTGGAAAGAATAAGGCAGGAGGACACTTCCTTGAGGACTACCTCTTTGCAGGATTTGAGCAAAGCAGCATTTCGGAGGTGTTGGGTGGGTGGGTTTGCATTAAAATCTGCTTGACATTTCACCGTGCTCCTCTCACCAGGTGTTGGTAGCTCCCTCTCCTTCGGACTCCCCCTCCCTCCCCCTTTCTGTCTCTGGATCATCTTCTTGATGAGTTTGGGCATAAATGAACCATCCATCAACCCATTAAATCTCAGCAGGAGAGTCATTTCCTTGTGCAAACAGCTGCTTGAAGCCTGGTCTGTCTGCTGTTTGCTGGAATGAGCCCCTCTCTTTTGCATAGCATTGGCTGTGACATATTCCGGTAATGAAGAAGGAAGGTGAGCAGAGAATGGGTGGCAGGAATGGGGCTACCTGCAGATTTGGGCAGGGTGGGAGAAAGGAGCCTGCTAATTGTCCTGCACAGCTGCACTGTACTTAACGTCCTGCTGGAGAAACCCAGAAGATATCCAAGAGGAAAATCACCTCTTAGGAGAGCAAAGGCTACACTAATGCAGGAAGAGTCAACGTTTCCAAGTGTTATTCTTGGACCAGGTTGGATTTCTTTTCTTTTTTTTAAGCGTATAGCACGTGTTAGCCAGGGATTGCCAAGGTGGCCAGCTGCCTCTGTGAAGGGAATTCTTTTCAGACAGTGTTATCTTTACTCATGGGATACCTGAATGCCGGTGGGCTCCTTTTTAAAATGAAAAGAAGCTTTTTTTAAATGTTAAATTTTAACGGAGTGGCACGATGGTGAGTCTGAAGGAACATCCAGGGGTGGGATTCTACAAGTTTGGACCAGTTTTATAGAACCGGTTGTTACGATTCTGCGCAGTTCGGAGAACCGGCAAATCATACCAATGGCTGGACCCTCCCCTCCCCACCCACCCCACCCAGGAGGCTTCCCTGAGGCCCAGTCAGGGGTGGTATTCAGGGGGTTGGGGGAGGGAGAAGTGGCCTGAGAGCAGAGCTGAACCTTCCTTAGGATTGAAGCTTCTATTTTTTCAGCGCAGACTCAGGCAGCAGATTGCAGAAAGGTAGATCTCTGAGTGAATCTGTGATTCTGCAAGCAGCTCAATCTGCCTGCCTGCTTTGCCTGATTTTGGGTAAAAGTTGCTCTTTTTGTAAAATAAAAAATTCAATCTTTACATATATATTTACAATATTTACATACAAGCCACGCTCAGCTAGTCACATGACCACCAAGCCACATCCACAAATTAAGCCGTGCCCACAGAACCGGTTGTTAAGAAATTTGAATCCCACCCCTGGGAACATCCATAGATTCCATTATTGAGGCCCATGTCTCTCTAACTCACAAACGTTCTATAGACCCAGGGGAGGGCTGCTGGGGGTTGGCGGGGGTTCAGGAGAGCCCCTAGCTAGGATTCTGTGCCGTTCAGAGAACCTCCAAATCCCCCTCCTGGCTGGCCCTGCCTACCCCACTCCACCTCTCCCAGGAGTCTCCACGTGGCCCGTTTTGGGTACAGGTAAGTCAGGGCATGCACGAAGACTCGGGTCTCCCGGAAGTTTGGGAAGGCCGGAAATGGGCCCGTTTCTGGCTTCCAGAGAGCCTCCGGAGCCCAGGGAGGCCATTTTTGCCCTCTTGGAGGCTCGGGGAAAGCCTTCGGAGCCCAGGGAGGGCAAAAATACCCCCCACACACACACACAGTGGTGCAGGAGGCTGACTAGGCCACGCCCACCATGGCCACACCTACCCAGGAACCGATCAAAGAACCCATTGCTAAAAAATTTTGAAGCCCACCCCTGTCTAGTCCTGTTTAATCACTTTCTTCCTGACCCCTTGTTTTGGCAGAGAAGAATTCAAGGATTGAACCCAGAAACCTTCAGCTCATGAAGCAGTGGGTTTTTTCCCCCTCTTTGTCGGTTAGGAATCCTCCACCCTTTTTGCTCATTGTCTGCTGGATTTTGTCTTGGATGTCTGCTCCGGCACTAGTAAACGGCCTTCAGGGACACATATCAATCTTTTCCTGTTCTTTCCATCCATTATGCTGCAGCTCCCAACATTGGAGAGTTTGAAATTCGCATTATCCTTGAAACTAGGGGTGGGTTTCAAATTTTTTTAGCAACGGGTTCTCTGCCCGGTGGCTGGGTGGGCGTGGCCATGGTGGGCGTGGTCTAGTCTGCCTCCCGCCCCACGCCAGGGAGGTGTTTTTGCTCTCCCCGGGCTCCTGAGGCTTTCCTCGAGCCTCTGGGAGGGCAAAAACGGCCTCCCTGGGCTCCGGAGGCTCTCTGGAAGCCAGAAACGGGCCTATTTCCGGCCTTCCCGAACTTCCGGGAGGCCTGTTTTTCGCCCTTCCTGAGCCTCCGCGCCAGTGGTGGGATTCAAATTTTTTTTATTACCGGTTCTGTGGGCGTGGCTTGGTGGGCATGGCAAGGGAAGGATCCTGTAAAATCTCCAGTCAGAGGTGGTATTTTCCAGTTCTCCAAACTACTCAAAATTTCCTCTAACAGTTCTCCAGAACTGGTCAGAACCGGCTGAAGACCACTTCTGCTCCGTGAGCACCCTGCGGTTACTTGCATCCAAAACGAGTCATGTGGGGACTCCTGGGAGGGACTGGGTGGGCTGGGTGGGGTCAGCCAGGAGTGGGATTTGGAGGGTTCTCCGAACTGCCAACCTCCAGCAGCCCACCCCTGCTTGAAACCAAAGTGAGTTCTAGCACCTTGTTGGAATAAACAGCAATAAACACCTAATGCCCCTGGCCACTTCCTCTTTTTATAAGTTGTATTTGGCCAACTGTGACAAGATAGCAGGAGTAGTCTAGACTGAAGCACAACCTCTGACATCCATTAAATGGTCGCTGGCTGTAAATGTACAATTTCATTGCAAGACGTGTCCGTCCTCAGGCTGGCCTGACACTTTTCACCTCTTTCACTCCGCCTGAAAGAAACGATTTCGGGCAGAATGTTGGGGGGAGAGGATGTTTGCTTGTTCACTAACATACGAAGAACGGTTACAGGAACGGGGCTTGGCTAGTCCAGTGAAGAGAAGGACCAGGGGAGATAGGATAGCAGGGTTCAAATATTTGAGGGTCTGCCACAGAGAGGAGGAGGGGGGTCAAGCTATTTTCCAAAGCACCTGTAGGCCAGACAAGGACTAATGGATGGAAACTGAATAAGGAGAGATTTAACCTGGAAATAAGGAGAAACTTTCTGACAGTGAAAACAATCAACGAGTGGAACAGAAGTTGCCCTCGGAAGTTGTGGGAGCTTCATCCCTGGAGGCTTTCAAGAAGAGACTGGACTGCCATCTGTCAGAAATGGTGTAGGGTCTCCTGCTTGGGCGGGGGTTGGACTAGATGACCTACAAAGGTCCCTTCCAACTCTGATTAGCTGTTATCTGTTACCAGAGCTTGGAATTGGGCAATGCTTGTTTCTCTAGACAGCTGAGGGACTCCAGTAAGATCAACACCAGGAAATCAACTAGACTGCTCTATTCTTGTTACAGTATGTTTAAAGCTGCATGCCCTAGGTCCGAAAGGTAACTGGACTTTCTTGGTTTTTTTTTTTCCCCTTGAAAATGTCTCATTCTGACTGAAGATGTTAGATGAGAAATGAAGTGTTTTCAAGGGGAAAAAAACCCCAAGAAAGTCCACTTGCCTTTTGAAAAAGCACCTTTGGAATAACCATGATCTGGATGATTGAGGATCTCTGTAAGATAGAACAGAATAACGGAAGGGACTGTGGAGGTCTTCTAGTCCAACCCCCTGTTCAAGCAGAAGACGTTATACGATTTCAGACAATTGGTTGTCCAACTTCTTCTTAAAAATCTCCAGTGTTGGAGAACCCACAACTTCTGGAAGTAATCTACTTGCTTTATAAGATGACTAGAGCCTGATTGTTTCCATCAGATGGCAATTTTTGTTTAAAAAAAAGAAAGAAAACCCAAATAATAATTTGGACATTTGTAACTGGGTATGTCTAGTTTAATGAAAAGGAGGACTAGGGGTAACATGACACCAGTGTTCCAATCTCTCAGGGGCTGCCCCAAAGAAGAGGGAGTCAAGCTATTCTCCAAAGCATCTGAGGACAAGAGGCGATGGATGGAGGCTAATCAAGGAGAGAAGCAACTTAGAACTAAGGAGAAATTTCCTGACAGTTAGAACAATTAACCAATGGAACAACCTGCCTCCAGAAGTGAATACTCCAACACTGGAAGTTTTAAAGAAGAGATTGGACAAGCATTTGTCTGAAATGGGCTATAGATCAGGGGTTGCCAACCTTTTGGACCTCAGGGACCACCAAACTCATAATTTTAAATCCCGTGGAACAAGAGACCCTAGGAAAATCCCCCCAAAAGTTTGCAGAAAAATTCCCCACCCCGTTTTCATACCGATCGATCGTTCTTTATTTGGGATCACAAGATGCCATCTCCAGCTTCATTTTCGGAGGGAGAGAGATAGAGAGAGACTTTTGGCAAAAGCAGCAGAAGTCTTTCTTTCTCTCCCCCAAACTCCACCAGAAACGAGTCTTTGCTGGCACCGCCTCTTGGAGCAGGAGGCCTTGCAGGGTCCCAAAGACTCATTTCTGGCGGAGTTTGCGGGAGAGAAAGAAAGACTTTTGCTGCTTTCCTTGCGTGCAGTCAAAAGCAGAAGAAGAAAGAAGCAGAAAGAAGCAGCTCGGTGGCCAGGCGAGGTACGTGGGGCGAGTGGGGCAAATCCCCCCCTCTGCCCTTTCCCCCTCCCCTCACTGCCTTGTGTTGTTCACAATGCAAGTAATGCAAGCCTTGTGGGCGGCACAGCCTTGTGTTCCTGCACAGCCTGGATTAATTGCTTTGCGGGGGTTCTTTGGGGGTAACATTTCTCTGCAGACCACCAAAATTTTCTCACAAACCACCAGTGGTCTCCGGCCCACTGATTGTCAACCACTGGGCTATAGGGTTTCTTGCCTGAGCAAGGGGTAGGGCTAGAAAACCTCAAAGGTCCCTTCCAACTCTATTATTCTGTATTCTATTCTCATATCTTTTTTCCTTGGCTAAAAACTGAAACAGGATGGTGTAAGATATCCGGTGCTGCTTTCTTTGAAAGTTTGCCGTTTTATCTTTGATAACATTTGCTGCATTTTATTTCTCCTCTAGTTAATGGTATTGTGACAATATAGCTGACAGCTTTTTAAAAATTTATGCTATTTGCACCTTGCCAGGCATATCCGATTTCTGGGGATGCTTTCGTTCCTATCTCAACTCTGATTTTCTCAGTGACACTTCCTTGCGTGTAAGCAAGAGACCTTTTATGCTGGAGGGGACTTTAAGGTGGGAGTGTTGTGTAGGGGGAAAAACAGGTATTGGAGTTGGAGAGAGAGAGAGAGAAGAGAAAGGGAGAAGAGAAAGAGAGAGAAGAGAGATAGAGAGAGAAAAGAGACAGAGAGAAGAGAAAGAGAGATAGAGGAGAGAGAAAGAGAAGAGAAAGAGAGAGAAAAGAAAGAGGGGGGAAGAGAGCGAGAGGAAGGGAGAGAGAGGGGGGGGGGGGGGAGAGAAAGAGAGAGAGGGAGAGAGAGAATAGTACCACTGACCTGCTCAGTTCAGTTAGAGAGTGGAATATGGCCACACAAGAGGATTGAGGTTGAATGATGGCTATTAACTGCATGATGCAGCAGCAGCAGCTTGAAAAGCTCAGCTTCCATTTTAAACCCATGTTTCTAGTCCTTGTGGTTGCAGATTCATCAGAATGGTACTTAAGGTTCCAGAGTGAGAGATATGGAAGAGATATGTATGTAATGTTATGTCATGCTTTTCCTACATTCCTAGAAAGCAAGGGAAATTCCTTTTTTTAAAAACCAGATGAAATTGTGTTATGTTTTTAGTTATCCTGACCACAAGGAGGCAGTATGGGACTGATTACCTCCTTCTGCGGACTCATCAGATATACGTAGACTGATCTTTCCCATGAGGTCTTTTCCATGAGATCTTTTCTATGGTGTTTTCTATGAATTCTATAAGAATTCTTTGCATGGGAATTGAACTCATAGACTATTGCACTTTAGTTGATTATATATAAGGCATTAGCTTTAGGTGCTATCCATGTCATCTTGCTCCATGGTTTTGCAGGAAGGAATATATAGAGAATGGCAGACTCTGCCTCACCAACCCCTCACTGCCCCCGTTCTCTGCTCTCTACCTGTTCACTTTCTTTCTTTTTGGGTAATCATACAGTGGTATTTCTTATTTATTTTATTGTTCTATTGTCTTACTTCTCCTCCTCCTCCTCCTCTTCTTTTTCCTTCTTCTTCCTTCCCCCTCCTCCTCTTTCTTTTTCTTCTCCTTCTCCTCCTCCTCTTCCTCCTCTTCCTCCTCCTCTTCCTCCTCTTCTTCCTCTTCCTCTTCCTCTTCTTCTTCCTCTCCTCCTCCTCCTCCTCCTCCTCCTCC